TTAGGTCAGTCTCGTTTGAAGGACCACCGACTTACATTCAAAATTATTTGTATCTTTGTTTCTCCTCTGATGTGAAGTATCCACACTTCATTTTGAGGGCAAACCTAACCTAAACATTTGTGGAAACGTTTTTTCTTAATATTTATTTATTCTTAAATACGATCTTGTGAGGCCAATTTGATTAATTTTTTTTGAATTTAAAAATACATTTTATATTGATAAAAAATCTGTGGTGTTCTTTTATATTTGTGTGTTTGTTCTTTTATATTTTATCTTACAAATTTAATAACTTTTTAGTTAGATAACACCAAATTATTATGTATTAATTATTATTTGTCTTATTGTTATTTCAATCACTTTATCAAGCTTGTCAACTGCAATTTCTTAAACAGTTGAAAATCATATTACTTATCTTACAAAGAAATATTAAAACATTTCGCCTTGAAATTCTCAATTTTTATTTGCTAAAAAGTATTGAACGTAATTAATTAATTTCAACACTGACCCAGAGGTCAGACAGTCCCAAAGGTCAAACACTGAAGGTCCCGTCCCAATAAATAACGCTGAAATATAATACGCCACAGATAAGTCGTATAACAGGAATTCCCCTTTTTTCGGTCCCGTGGTCGGCCATTTTTCCCGGTGAACCGTTCACGGCATTTGCTATTCCCTTTTAGCGAGAAATAGTCGCTTTGGATCTAGATAGTTGCGTCGGCCATTTAACACGAGCCGACTATCCAGCGTGAATCTTGAGATAGTTGACATGGCGAAGTCAGCGAAGATCCTGAAATCGCGGATGATTACAACGTATCCCGAGGACACTTTTCAGCTCTGTCCGGGATGGTAAAGTGAGAACAGTTAGCCGAGGAAATTTACGACTCTATTGACGCTGATAAATGGCACAGTTCAGTCTATTTATAATTTGGCGATAGTTGGTGCACATATTTCGTTGCTTGCTAGAGGTGGATTTATGGAAACTCGACCTTTACGGTTTTATTATTTTATTAAGGTTACGTGTCGTTGATACTTGGTGATTAGTGTAATAAGAAAATTAATGAGAAAATAATGGACAATAATGGAAAATTAATGGACAAATTTTTGTGGTAAAAAATTAACATAGGGATGTTGAAGTTCATAGCTGTATTTAAATATTATGAAAATACAAGAAGTGCAAATTTTTATATATTCAAGTTTGCAAAAGACCAAATTTAAAATTTTTACAAGTTCATCTAAGCAAACTCTTAAATTTGTGACTTCACAAACTCTAATTTGCTAATTTCTCAATTTTTAAATATCCAAATTTCACAGCACAATTTTTATTAAAATCAAATCATATTTAATTTTAATCTTGAACTTCCAATTTATTTACTTAAAGTCTCGAGTTACAAGCACTCTTAAAAAACAAACCCATCATTCAATTCTCTTTCCTCATTTCTTAAATAAAATTATTACAAAAAGCACCTCACTTTATCAGTTTATCGATAACGTTGCCAAGTGTAACGCTTCTGATTCAAACCGATCAATATCAGACATCTAGCATTCAAAACAAAATCAGCAAGAAGAAAAGAAGAGTATAATATGAAATTTAATTATAGCGTTGAAAGATATATTCTAGATCTCGATGAATTAATTCGTTCCTCTCGAAGAGAACGTTTCGAGTAATGTTGTTGATTTATGTAATTTTTATTAATTCACTCATTAACGTTTCACGTTTCTGTTCGCACGTTGGAATTCTATTAAAACGCCTCTCAATTCTTCATTCGAGTTGGCTGATCAAGAAAGATGATCGCTCGTCGACCAATGAAAGCTGTTTTCCCGTGCGTGACTTCCGCCGGATTCGCGTCGACAGTGCCTCCATTGATAAATAGACAGTCTACGAATCGATGTTCGTACCACAAATTTACATGGAAAAAACAAGCGTAACTTTACTGATGACATAGTTTGTTAACGCAAATCGCGTTGAAAACGTGTATTGTTCAATGTCTTCAGTCGTCAGCAGATCAATAGGTTAGCTACAAGTAGTCAATAGGTTTGTATACACTTTTGTGAATAGAGGTTTAGAGAAGTCCCAAAGTTCCAGGGACACAAAATTCTCATATTAGCAATGTCCTAAAGTGAAATCTTGAACTTGGATAATTCTGAGGATTAAGAATGTTATATTTGAGATGTTTCAAATTTACAACTTCTTAAAATTAAACAAATTTGCAGAGTTTAGACCTTCAGAGGCTAATCCTTCAGAGTCCAAACCTTCAGAGTTCAAACCTTCAGAGTCCAGACTTTCAGAGTCCAAACCTTCAGAGTCCAAACCTTCAGAATCCAAACCTTCAGAGTCCAAACCTTCAGAATCCAAACCTTCAGAGTCCAAACCTTCAGAATCCAAACCTTCAGAGTCCAAACCTTCAGAATCCAAACCTTCAGAGTCCAAACCTTCAGAATCCAAACCTTCAGAGTCCAAACCTTCAGAATCCAAACCTTCAGAGTCCAAACCTTCAGAATCCAAACCTTCAGAGTCCAAACCTTCAGAATCCAAACCTTCAGAGTCCAAACCTTCAGAATCCAAACCTTCAGAGTCCAAACCTTCAGAATCCAAACCTTCAGAGTCCAAACCTTCAGAATCCAAACCTTCAGAGTCCAAACCTTCAGAATCCAAACCTTCAGAGTCCAAACCTTCAGAATCCAAACCTTCAGAGTCCAAACCTTCAGAATCCAAACCTTCAGAGTCCAAACCTTCAGAATCCAAACCTTCAGAGTCCAAACCTTCAGAATCCAAACCTTCAGAGTCCAAACCTTCAGAATCCAAACCTTCAGAGTCCAAACCTTCAGAATCCAAACCTTCAGAGTCCAAACCTTCAGAATCCAAACCTTCAGAGTCCAAACCTTCAGAATCCAAACCTTCAGAGTCCAAACCTTCAGAATCCAAACCTTCAGAGTCCAAACCTTCAGAATCCAAACCTTCAGAGTCCAAACCTTCAGAATCCAAACCTTCAGAGTCCAAACCTTCAGAATCCAAACCTTCAGAGTCCAAACCTTCAGAATCCAAACCTTCAGAGTCCAAACCTTCAGAATCCAAACCTTCAGAGTCCAAACCTTCAGAATCCAAACCTTCAGAGTCCAAACCTTCAGAATCCAAACCTTCAGAGTCCAAACCTTCAGAATCCAAACCTTCAGAGTCCAAACCTTCAGAATCCAAACCTTCAGAGTCCAAACCTTCAGAATCCAAACCTTCAGAGTCCAAACCTTCAGAATCCAAACCTTCAGAGTCCAAACCTTCAGAATCCAAACCTTCAGAGTCCAAACCTTCAGAATCCAAACCTTCAGAGTCCAAACCTTCAGAATCCAAACCTTCAGAGTCCAAACCTTCAGAATCCAAACCTTCAGAGTCCAAACCTTCAGAATCCAAACCTTCAGAGTCCAAACCTTCAGAATCCAAACCTTCAGAGTCCAAACCTTCAGAATCCAAACCTTCAGAGTCCAAACCTTCAGAATCCAAACCTTCAGAGTCCAAACCTTCAGAATCCAAACCTTCAGAGTCCAAACCTTCAGAGTCCCAAACTTGCAAAATTCCACATCTGCAAGTTTTCAAATTTTCAATACCTCAATCGTCCAAATTCCTAAATCCAATGTCTCAAAATCCCAGAGCTTAAAATTCCTCAATCCATAAAACTAGATTGTCCCAAAATTTCAAAGCCTCAAATTCCACATTTTGTAACCCAAGAAGCAACCCAAAATTTCAAAGCCCCTTCCTCAACTTGCAAACCTAAAATTTCTCAAACATCACCCATCAGATAAAATAATTTCTCATAATCCACGCAGTTAGAATCCACATTTGAAACATATGAAATTTAGTCGAGCTACAAATTCGCAATACTTTAATACACATTTAACGCGATCGCACGTTGAGAAACGTGTTAAGCAAAAAAGTCCATGGGGTCTCCTTAAATCGGGACGAAAAATGGCAAATGAAGGGATTAGTATCATTTTAGTCATCGTTGACCCGACGCTCTCGTCTTTGGAATTCATTGCCGAGCGGATCTTTAGGCGTGTGTTCTTTTTTCTCTCAGTCGAGATTCCGTCGCTGGTCCACAGAGTCTGGGCCAACAGACTCTCCAAAACACCGACCACGATCCTGACGCAGAAATAAACCCGGCCAAAACAAAGAGACGACACTGCCGGTCCCGAATAAGAAGCAAGACAGAAGTATCCAGGACGAACGATTAGGACGCGTAGACGAGGAGAGAAAAGCGCGAAAAAAAGAGGAGGCAAAGAAACGAATACGTTGGCGAATTCGTGAGAGAGAAGTGGCTGTGGCCGGATCAGAGGACGAGAAAGATGAAACACCGAGGACCCATTTCGCATTCTGCAGTGAGCTAGTCAGCGGCTAACTATAAGAGGAGCTAACTATAAACTCAGAGTCCCTACTCCTGAGCTATTTCGAGATTGTGCTTGTCGCACTGCCAACACCCCACCTCTGATAGCGTCTCTTTTGCTCTTCAACCATTTTGGTAGCCGATGGCCCGCTTGCGTGCCTGCGCTCGCGAGAAGAACGCGGCGTTACGCTTCGCGGTGGCCTCTGACTCGTGCAAAACTTCGATCGGAGGGGAGAGATTGCTTCGTGTAATACGCTTTTTCAGATATCGATCTTCGATCGGGGAGGTGGTGGCACTTTTTCGCAGTTTTTGTATTTGGCGGTTGCTTTTGGGGATACTCATTGATGCTGACAGAAAGTTGGAATTTTTAATCTTTCAAATGAAGTCTGATTTTCCTATGTGATTAAATTTTCAAATTTAGAAATTAAAAAAATTCTTGACATTTTTAAATTATGTAAATTTTCAGCTTTTCACACTGATACATTTTTTATCTTGAAAATTGAGTACATCTTCAAATTTTTAATAAATACTTTGACAGCCCAAATGTACCATAAATATTCATATTATTTAATAAAAATAAATACAGTTTTTACTTGGTTCATTTAATTGACATTGTTCTTAAATTTGTTTCAGACAGAATGTAATCGACCCGCACCTTCCAACGATGCTATAAATCGTGAACAGTGAAGTCTAGTTCAAAATTAAAATCAAATCGTGAGTACATTTTCCGCATCATCCCGCGTCACCAATAAAAACAGTAAAATTTGATTTACCATTCAGAAAACGTAAAGTGAACAACAATTTCTGATAATCCACTGGAAATGTAATACGAGAGTATACTATTCCCCATAAAATATCAATTACCATATCTCGCAATACAGAAGCCATAGAGAACGTAGAGAAGCCAAAAGAAAATTTTATCGATTTCCGTTCATGAAGGTTTTACAATAGGTTTTATGGCCGACTGGCATCTGTTCATAAATTAAACAGTACAAGTTATAAATTGTTGTTCAGCTTTATTTCTTTAGCTTCTCTTATTTCGAATAAAATTGTCAAATATTTTATCGTGTATGAATGGAACGAGAGATTGCTGTTTCTTAAGATATTATGACTTCAAACGAACCTAACAATTTTCTACAAATATTGTATATTATTTTGTGAAAAATAACTATCAAATTGTGTATTATTTCGTGAAAGTTTATCGGGTTTCAGAAATTACTTGTTGAGATGGAACAAGTCTAGATTGAAAGTTAATATTGCAATCATAATTACCTGTGATCGATAGTGTAGCAAAATTATTATAACTACAGTCGATTATGTTAAGAAATGATCCAGTTTGATTACAGTGTAATCAGGTCCAATTTGTAACAAGAATAAAAACCAACTAGTCTTGGTTGTGTCAGAAAATTTTGGTTCAACAGTAAAATTAAACAAGATCAAACTCAATCAAAAAATAATTATATTAAATGATCAAATAATCAAATTAACTCGACTACAATAAGAAAATAATCTAACTAGACAAGGTTAGGTACAAAAGTACCCAAATTAGCTCAAATCAAGATTTCGAATCACAAACAAATCCCAAATTCAAATCACATCGAAGTGAACAACTTTTTTTCAAAGTACCAAAATTATTTGAGAAATAGTTTGATGGAAGTATGCGAATAGTGCGAATGCAAATAGGCGCCAAGATTAAAATATCGCGAGAGACACAAGCGAAGATGGAGCACACGGATTCACACACAAGTTCAATTAAGCGTGGACTTGCGACGGATCGAAGCTGGGGTCACTGCTCGGACCTATTTCAACGACGTTGAGCCGCTTTCATTGGCTAAATTCTATTATTTATTTACGGTCGTGTTGCTTTATCAAGCTTGAGAAAGCGGAAGAGCCAGAGGCTTCCATGGCTTCGAAAAACATTGGCGCTCGTGCGTGATCGTGTCGTTAACAGGTGAACGAGCGTAGCGAGAAAGAAGCCCGAAAAGTGCGACTAATTGTCACACTCGTGCAACTTTACTTCCTGATAGTATTATAGTGATTATGTCAGTAGTCGATAGGGACTTTTTCATTGTTGCTTCATACTATCATTGCATTCTACAACCTTCAAATGACATCGAATATTAATTAAACTTTGCAATCTTCTGCACCGTTACATAATCTCGTCCAGTAATTCTTAACACGATTCCTGGACACTAAATATTAAGTGAACACCATCATTTTCATAAAATTATAATCATACAGCTAATTTAAAATAAGTGTTATTTCTCTTGTCCGGATCCATATTTTTGATCAAATTTTCCGATAATATCGCGACATAATTTAAATAACTACCATCAGTTAAATTATAAGCTAGTTTATAACTGTTATTTAGCGATTCTCGTTAAAAATATGTAAGACGAGAAAATACTAAGTTATAGTTTTGTCAACTGATAATTTAGTCCGAGAGCTCTAGCCCGACTCGTCTAATTTTAGCTAAACTCACCGAGAGCAAACGCAATGGTTCAATCCAGTTATGCAAATGTTGTTTATACATTTTGTGTTTTTAACTCGGCGAAGGATTTACAAGTTTATTGGCCTTAATGGAGCAGAAGGGAAATAAAAAGGAAGACGCCGGAGGAATCATGCAGGAGACGCACGGATTCGGGCCATCTCGATGCTCGGAGCGGACTGCGCGTAATTCCAGGCGAAAGGAAAATCGTCGTCGTGTTGCAACGTGAATTCGATTCACGGTCGAGCAAGCTGCTCGTAAATGTGGCGAAATTCCTCGGAGATTTTTATTCGTGAGCCGAGGCTGTGAGCTGGCACGATGAAGCGACGTTCGTTGAACGTTAAACGAATCGTTTCTGTTGCTCGTTCGAGTAGAAACTCGAGGCCGCGGAGTTCGATCGATCGAGTAGAACAACCGAGATGAGCTTCAAAGACGTACGATGTTACTTTTATCAGATTTACAGCGGTAGCTCGTTTCATCACCGTAGAACACTCTTCTTTTTTTATGCGGTTATTGTAGAGCTCTGATGCCCAGATTAAGGGATCTAACCGGAGCAATGATGAGATGTAGAATTATATCGAATTCCTTCCTTTAGCAATTTTATACTTTCAGAGGAATTTCTTATTTTTAGATATTGCTGTTGGGTTTGAAATATTATAGACGTTACTGTAGTATGTATTAAATATTGTATATTTTTAGACTTTTTTGCTTCAAGAGTTTTCAATGTTCAAATTTTTAAATGCTTTACATATTGTGGGAATGTAAATTGTCACATAAGAAATGTACAGAAATAACTGCATGGCTACTTAAGAAATATTTAGTAATACATACATTTTTATATAAGAAATACAGAGAAAGAAATAAATTTCTTTATAAAATATGTATAAACATAACTAAATTTCTCCATAACAAATGTACATTAATAATTAAATTTCTCCACAAAAAATATATGGAAAGAAATAAACTTCTCCATGACAAAGGTACATAAATAAATAAACTTCCCCATAAAAAATATATATATATACAAATAAATAAATTCCTCCATAACAAATGTACATAAATAATTAAATTTCTCCACAAAAAGTACATAGAAATAAATAAACTTCTCCATGACAAAGGTACATAAATAAAACTTCCCCATAAAAAATATAAAGGTATATATACAAATAAATAAATTCCTCCATAACAAATGTCATAAAAGAATGAACGTCCCCGCAAGAAATAAATAGAAACATTAACAAAAATAAATAAACTGTAGAAGTATACGAAAGGTGAAGACGAAATGGCGGAAGAAAGGGACAAATTCGAAAATCCATTCGAATGATCGACCGGATACACGCGATCTCCACTTCGATCTACCACTAACTTTTCTTTTTCCATTTTTTTTTTTGTTCAAGGCTGCCACGAGTCGACTCGGGGCTAATTCAGTCGGTCGGCTCTAATCGCGTTCGCCGGCTTAATCGCTCGAAAATCACAGTGCACAACGAAGCGAGAGAGAAACGAGCCCTGTAAACTTTAAACACGAACTTAATTCCTAGAGAACCGACTGTAATTAGATGGTCAGAGAGTGGACCTTTTTTACCGCGCCAGCGTGAAACACCGGCGAGCTCTCGATCGCTCCGAGAAACTAACTCTTCCGTTTAACAACAGCTCCGTTAATGCTGTAGTTAAACAACTTACAATTTTTTGTTACATCTTTTTACGGCTACCGAGACTCTGTTTCGTTAGCGTAACCGGCTGATCGTGGAGTAACGGATGAACGGGGGAATCGCGATCGTTTTGTCGCGATGGCGCAACGATGTGGATTTCAGACATTTTTCTGAGAGATTCTCTTTGAGTAGGGTGGAAATTTGAGAGGGTTGTTGGACTTTTTGAAGTGGGACTAGGATTTGGGGACTTTTTGTGTGGGGAAGATTGGGAATTTTGGGGACTTTGGGAGTTTGAGGATTTGGGAATTTAGGGGATTTGAGAGATTGAAAATTTGGGAATTTGGGAATTTGGGAATTTGGGGGATTTGGGAATTTGAGGGATCTGGGGGATCTGGGGATTTGGGGATTTGGGGATTCGGGAATTTGGGAAATTAGTGGTTTCGAGGATTTAGGAATTTAGGGATTTCGGGGTTTTAAGAATTTAGAAATTTGTGGATTTGGGGATTTGAGAATTTGGGAATTTGAGAATTTGGGGATTTGAGAATTTGGGAATTTGAGAATTTGGGAATTTGGGAATTTGGGAATTTGGGGAATTTGGAGGTTCTGGGGGATTTGGGGATTTGGGGATTTGGGAATTTGGGAATTTGGGAATTTGAGAATTCTGAGAATTTAGTAATTTGGTGATTTGGTGATTTGGAGATTTGGGGATTTGAGAATTTGGGAATTTGAGAATTCTGAAAATTCTGAGAATTTAGTAATTTGTTAATTTGAAAATTAGTAATTCGAAAATTTGAAAACTTGAAACACTTGAACACTTGAAAATTTGGGAATTTGAAGATCCAAAAGTTTAAAAATATAAAAATAACACTTGAAAATGTAAACATTAAAAATTTGAAAACTCCCAAATTTTATAAGCTTGATAACAATTTTCCCCAAAATTCAGAAGCTTGAATCAGTAAAATTTGCAACTGAATATCAAAATTCATTAAAGCAGGTAAATATGTATATGAAAGTGTGTACTAACAAGCATTGTCACGAGTTAGCACTCTCAATTTCTTTCCCACAACAGCACCCGTCAATTACACTATTATGACAGTAACGTTGATACAAAATTAACGTCTGCACGTTAAGTGAGAACATATTTACGGTGGTCGGTAATCGCATGAAAGATGTTACAGTCTGCTTGTTAATACACGAGTGGAAAGCGTGCGCGTTAATTACCCCTCTCATCATAAATTACACCATTATAAATTCGGCTGTTGATCGTCGATCTGACGCTGTTCCCGCGTTTACCCTCGTAGATATTTCTTCTTAATGTTCACGGCTGGTAGAACGCGACAACGCAACGCGTGAACGCCCCTTTACAGTCAATTACTCGTTAACACGAATTCCTCGTCGCTGAGAAATGAAATGCCTTTGGTCACGCTGTTTCTAATCACTCTTCTGCTACGAGAACTCGCTCTGGAACGACTTATGCTCTCTCGGTTATTCTTATTCGTTTCCTTTGCAAAACATACTCGATAACAACGTGCAAATAACGGAGTGGAAAATAATTGCTCTATCGGGGAGGATCGAGT